TTCAATCAATCTTTAATCAGTCAATCTTTCGATCACCAAGCCAGTTAACAGTTCGATAAATCAAACACTCAGTCTTGCAGTTAGTCGTCTTATCAATCGGTCGGTTAGTCAGTTGGTAGATTTCTCATTCATACTTACTTGAATACTTGAGCAGCTGTATGTCATTGACGTTCGTTGTCATGCCACTGTTGCAGCTAGCAACTTCTCCATTCAATCCGTTGTTGCGCTCTCCGAGTTCACATGATGCCATACAGGCATACCATGGGGTCTCTCCATCTCACTGGTGGCCTTCCCAGTGTTCGCTTGACTGTGCGCGGATACCATTCCATTATCTGCTCCGTCCGTCTGTTATGTGATATCCGTGTCACATGACCAGCCCATTTCCTCTTTCTGGCGTCAAAAATATCATTCACGCCAAATCTGGCTTGTAGCACTTCATTTGGAGTGTGCTGTAGCCTGTTGGCGCCAATTATTCGCCGCTCCATTGATCTTTGAGAGACAGCCAATTTTCGTTCTTTAGTAAGCATGGCGTTCTACGTCTCACACCCATATAACAAGGCTGGTAGGATGGTCGAATTGTACTTATACGGTTAGTAAATCAAAAGTTAGTCGCTCTACCAGTCAGTCGATCAGTCATTCAATTAATTACTAGTACACTGCTCAACAAAGCTTAATCCTGAATTTGTGATCAATTTCAGTTATGTTTACCGATCATATTGATGTACCATTGCTTGATGCCGTTACCAAAATCGATTGCCTCACCATACTGCTCCATATAAATTGTGACGTTGTGTCCTGAACGGAACGTCATGATTAGTGCTCTCCTGGCTGTAACTCATTTTTTTCTCGAAAATAATTTCTTCAAAATTTTCTACGGATTTTTGATGCAAGCAAAATGCAGAAATAAGTTGAATTGAGTCTGCAGTTAAAACGCAACGGGGAATGGTTTCATTGCACCAAGACAGTCTTTTTGAAGCAATAGAAATCGAAGAATCACCAGGGGGAATTCGGGATGACCTGCTTTTTCGAATTACAGTACCAGCTCTGATTCAAGCTGAGTTCCACAAGTTAATGTCCACCGTAGCCTAACTTTAGGTTATTTTTAAATCTAAAATTGAGCGATCTAGCAACAGTTGCGACAGGCCATTTATTCCAAGCATACAGTATAGTACCAGGAATACCTTACTCATGGGAGGAGGGAGGGGAGGGAGAGGGGACGGGGCCCGTTCTCCGCGCCTCCATACAGTCGGTGTGGGTATTTCATGCTAGCGATTTGCTGAAAATTCCATGAACGGAGCCCTTTCTCGAGAACTGTTCTCAGTCGGGAAGAAGCCGAACTACCTTTCTTCGCATTCGGGTGCAACGTGTTACCACCACACTAACGGTCCTTATGCTCCAGGCTCAGCCTGGCAGCACATTTACTGTGTATCTGCCTTTCAAGGCAAGATGCATCTTTCTTTTCTTCTCTGCCTCCCATAAGCAGTTCCCATCTTTTTCTTTGTGTCGACCATTTGGTCGCTTCTCGCGGGTTCCCCAACTGAATGTTCCCGGACGTAGCTATACCAGGCTCTTCAGTCTTAATCTGGATACAGTTTTCGCAAGATATTTTACTTTTGAACAGATTTCAAAAAAATAAATAAATTTTCCCTAAAAAAAGCAATTTTTTAAGGCGTGTACCTTCATGGACGAGCCTCGCAAGAAGTGGTACTATCGATCCGGCATGACTTTTGCCTTGCAGCATTGTAACAACCAGAATATTGGAACACTGTACAGGGCATGCTGTATAACTTACTAACAATAATAGAGCAGAGGTAGATTTCATCTTCA